GATTTCCAAAAATACAGAATACCTAAATTGATCATGACAGCTATTTCTTTCTGTTTTGAGCATATCGTTCTGGCCGATACAAGTATCGTTCAGGCCGATAAGTTAATTACGGCTGCCTTAACTAAGAAATTCTGATTAGAACTTTTGTTTTGAAATCGATCGTCCAGGACGATAATAAGATCGTCCGGGACGATGTGAGTAAAAACAGAAATTCTAAATCTCTCAAGTGTGTGTATGGTAATTTAACATCAGTCACTTCAAATATTTACAATTGACTCAAGAAAGGGAAAAAGAAAAATACAGACTGACTCAGACCTAGTTTACCCAATCTCGAGCTGGTTCCAATTTTCGTTCGATCTTTGAGTCCTGAGAAGTCAGTAAAGAAAAGACAGTCGTATTGTTTGCTATCATCAAAACCATAATTCATGAAACCAAATCTGCAACAGAATGAAGGTTACGGCTGTTGGCTTATATGGGTGTTTAAATAAGGTTAATTGCTTCTAGGACATCCATGCAATTTATGATGACACCTTGCACAAATTATTGTTTTAAATTTTAAGGAGTTGGTTTTTGTTTTTTAATTTTTAGAAGTCTTCCATTATGCTAAATCCATGTTGGCTTAATGTGAGAATTTTGGCTTTCTTTTGTCTCAGACATATGTGAGGGAGTTTTCTCTTTCTTCTGTATTTATGCTGTCTGAGAGAACTTTGCTTTCTTTTATGTGCTCTGTTGAGGTATATTACTTAGTTAAGCAATAATCAGAAAGAGACATCTATGATTTACATTTCTTTGGAGGGATGTATTAGATATACTCTATCTTTCTTACAAATACCACTTTAAATGGATTACTTTTTTTTAGCTTGTGCTTTCTTCTTTATTCATGCATCTTCAAAATGCATTTCAATAGTGAGTTTGGTCTTAAGCTGACCTTTTATTTCTATTAAATGTGAAACATGAGTACATGATTGCTATGCAGATCACGGACTGCTGTTGCTCCACTTGAGAGGCTAAAAATTTTATTACAGGTACCATTCACATTCTGTTAGTAAAATGATTTTTTATGCTGCTACGTCTTCTTTATGGATATTTCCTGCTAATTGATTGAGAATGATCAAGTTTGTTTATACTCTATTTGGTTTGTGTTGTCATTCGTTTTTTTTTTCTTTTGTTGTAGGAAATATCATTTTAGGAGACTTGCCTAGATATGGTCAGTGGAGTATATTTATTTTATTATAGTTTGCTTATTGTATTGATTCCTTTATTATATAGATAAGTTCTCTATTGAATGATAGACAAGAAGTTCTTTTCCCTCAAACTTCCTTAAAAAGCTAAGGCGTCTTTTGGAATGAGTCTTATATTGTTTCAAATATATTAGGATGATGCATGATATCAAGTTTTCATGTCTTGCAGAGTGTAATCATATTGATAGTATTTGGAAAAAAAAAAACTTGAACATATTACTTAAAAATGGCAAATGATAAGGAGCTGTGGACAACATTGCTAGTTAGTTCACTATCTTCTTACAATAGTTTTAAGTTTCATGTCAATGCAAAGTGAAGGGGATCACTATTTCACTTGTAAGAGATAGCGGTGATAAAATCATTTGAGAAAGGGCATGCATGATGTGGGTCAAATTTAACAGGGCTTGTTTAGGAACAATGATGTTATTAAGAATTGGCTTCAAAAGGAGTTTTCAATAGAAATGATTGTAGAAGGAATATAAAGTTTATTTGAAACACTTGGTTTAAGGATGTTGGCTGTAATTGACTAACATGTTCATTTGAAGGTAAGGTGATGAGGACATCAGCAGGAGATCTTGACGCGTATATCAGAGGAGGCATCAGAGTTCGACGACCACGATCAACAGCCTTTATTTTTGATGCATTTTATGTATTGTTTATTTTTCATATTTCAATTTTCCTATTTTACCCCTATGGATAGATAGTTTGTTGTTGTATCCTTGAGGGCATTTTAGTCTTTTTTTCTTTTGTCATGTTGAGGCCTATATTGATGCAAGCAAAAATTTGGGAAAAGCCACAAAATTTTTTCCCAAATTTTGGGAAAAACCACAAATTTTTTTCCCAAATTTTTGCGAGCAAAGACTAAACTCTTCCTAGGATAAAAGAAAATACATGAAATTCTCAAAGCTAAACAAAATACAACAAAAGCAAACTTTAATATTATAAAATAACACTTACAACAAAGGACCAAGACGCTTACAAATGACGCATACAAACTTTGACGATAAAGCTCCTAAAGTTGCATTTTTTTGGTTGAGAAGAAGGATACAGGTGAGGTGGTCATTTGCGAATAGAAGAAAGAGATAAAAAGTCCAATACGAAGATAGGAGAAGCTCACAAGCCTTCCTAAGAAGTAGAAGAAGAAGAAGGGGTGGAACAAGCAAGCATGCTTTTCCAAGAAAGAAAAAACCTATCAAGTTTTTGGTTCCAAAAATCATATTATATCAACCTCATAACATCCTTTTCTTAATACAAAACACCTACTATTTATAGAAGAGAAAGGGGAGCCAAACAGCCAACATCAACCTCCAACCAAACCAATTATGTATGGGGAAGAAGAAGAAGGGCCAAAAGACACCACAAACAACCCCCAAAATCTGCACAGGAAACATGAAGGAAAGCCACGGGAAACACAGCCAGGGAGGGACCCGAAGAGCCAACACAGAAAACGGAAGGAGAGGCCACGGGAAAGCAACAGTGGGAGAAACCGAAGATCCCACACAAGGCACCCAACAGTCAGTTCACGGGACAACACAAGGAGAAACCGAGGAGGCACAAAGGAAGGTAAAAAAGGCCAATGCCCACTTTACATTATGAGTTGAAATTAGAATAGAAACCTTTTTATATAAATGAGCTAAAGTCACAGCTCAACATTTATGAGCTAGAACCACTTATTTCCCAATTTTTCAGCACAAAACCAAAGCAGCCAAGGACCAAATCGAGAGCAGCTAAAGCCCAAACCATGAGACAACAAGCAGCCAAAAGAACAAAATATTCATTTTGTTCTGACCCCCCCTTGCTTACATCAATTCTCCTCCGGTTGAAGAAGCTCATCTCCCGATGAGGCTTGAGTTTGCTCACTTGACACCAAGACTCAAATGACAACATGACTCAAAAACAAAACTTACATGACACTCACATATATGACACAAAGACACACGACAACTTGCTCTGATACCAAATTGATGCAAGCAAAAATTAGGACAACCCTTAATTTTTACAAGCAATTGAAACTCTCCCTAGGATAAAAGAAAATACACAAATATACCCAAAAGGATACAAGACACAACAAATAAACCAAAAATAACTTCACTTTATAATAAAAAAGGATTTACAAACTTAGACAGTTACAAACGACAAAATAAAAACACCTTAAACACATAAACTTGCTTTTCCTTGAGAATAAACTATACAAGATACACACCTAAACTTTGTATACCCAAAAGGAGGCAAAGAAGGCGCCTCAAGCTCATGATTTTTTCTGCATACCTTTTCAAGACCTTGTCTCGCTCTCGCTTAAATTGTTCTTGTAGAAGTTGTTTCTTTTTCATGTACTGCTCCGTACACAAATGCATCTTCAACTGAAGCTTGTATAGTTCATTCTGTAGGGGATCTGTTGAACTCCCTTCCGTTGGAATCCACCTATCAATTGGAAAAGGGTATTCAAGATCTTCTGGATTACATTCTTTCATGACTGAATCCATCTTTTTATGATTTTTCATTTTTTAAACTCTTAAAAAAAGACACGAAAATAGAGACCTAGGAAGACACAAACCTATGCTCTGATACCAAATTGATGCAAGCAAAAATTTGTGAAAAGCTCCAAATTTTTGCGAGCTAATGAAATTCTTCCTAGGAAATAGAAGATTACATGAAATACTAAAATTTAGACAAAATATGACATTTAAAACAAATTACAACTTTTTATAACATAAAAACATAACAATGACGCTTACATAAAAACAAACACCTAAAATTATATTTCCTTGAGAAGAAAGATGCAGGTGGTGTCGATACTTGTGGAGAGAAGGAGATAAGAAGCAGAGATGAATGAGGACAAGCTCGCAAGCTTTCATATAAGAAGGAGCGAAAAGGCATAACTCGCAAGCTATCCTAGAAAACCCGCAGGTTTAGTTCCAAACTTATCATAATAAACTCTCTCTCTCAAGCTTTTCCAAAGAAGGAAGAAAAATCCTCAGGTTTTTAGTCTTCAAAAATACCACATAATCTCTCTCTAAAACTCTAAAACAACCACAAACATCTCTTATTTATAAGAGAAAAAAGGCAGCCAAACAGCTACATGAAACCTTATTTAGTCCCATTAGGAAGGGGAAGAAGAAGGGCAAAAGACACCACAAACAACCCCCAAAATCTGCACAGAAAACAAGAAGGCAAGCCACATGAATACAGCCTGGGAGGGTTCCGAAAAGACATCACAGAAATCTGGCTGAAGGGGGTCACGGGAAAGCAGCCAGAGAGAAAACCGAAAAGGCAGCCAAAACACAGATTTAATTCACAAAGAAGAAACCAAGGAGATACAAGAAGGGAAAAGGCATGAATAGGGAAACCCAAGAGTCAAAGGCAAGGGGGAATGAACCAAATAAAGATAATTTATAAGCTTAATTAAGTAGAATAAAAGCATTAATGAGGTAGCACCAAGTAGATCTCAAAATTTCATCTCACAACCAGAGAATCTGATGCGATCAAAAATCTCTGGCAATGGACCCCAAATTTTTTATCACAAGAATGAGACACACTTAGCTAAGTAATAAGAAGAACAAATTCTTACATTTCATATAAAAAGACACTTACAACTGATACCAACGACACAAATAAAAACACTTAAACTTGCTTTCCAAGAGACAAAGGATACAGATGGAAGGGTACTTGCGGAGAGACGAAAGAGATTAGAAGCCGAGAAGAAGGGTGGAAAGAACTCGCAAGTCTCCCCAAGAGATAGAAGAAGAAGAAGTGGATAAAGCTCGCAAGCTTTTCCAAAAACCCTCAGGTTTTCATCCCAAAAATCACATTTTTCACTCTCTAAAACAGCCTAATACATCTACTATTTATAGACATGAGAGGGGAATACAAACAGCCCCAAAAATCTTTCATATTCTTAATTAATTAGGGGAAATGAAAAGCCATCAGTCAACTCCAGGAAACAAAGCACCAAAGCCACGGAAAAGACCCCCCAAAAGTCACGGAAAAACAGCCCAGGCGGAACCCGAACAGCCACCTGCAGAAATCAAGGAGCCAGCCATGGGAATCAAGGAGCCAAGGCACGGAAACCCAAGAGCTAGCCGCAGGAAACCAATAGCCAACCGTGGGAACCAAGGAGTCAAGGCACGGGAACCCAAGAGACATCCACGGGAAACGAATGGACAAGGGGAAGGAGAAGAGACAAAAATTAATGAGCTACTAATAAATTAATAAGTGAACTAAAAACATAGCTCATAATGAGCTAACTTTTAGTTCAAGGGGAAATAGTACTTTACACTCCAGGTCTTGTTTTGGGCAGGACAAATATGCAAGTTGTTTCTTTAGAAAATATTGATCTTACTACCACCAAAGTAGTTAGCATTGAGGCTATCACCAACTTGCAGGTTTGAGTTTGGTCAACAAGCTTTGCTCATTTAGAGTAACGTTCAAAAGTTTTATACACCATCATCCATTAACATAAAAATATAAATATTTTTTTATTATTCTTGAATTGGTCTTTCAACTTGCTTCCTTGTGTTATGTCATTTCTTATCCGCTTAAAGAACTTTGCTTTGCAGAGTTGATTTACTGTGCATTATAATAGCAAACTCCAGCTCCTAGCTCTCTATCATTGAAGAGGTGGAATGTCTTAATGTGTAGAAAGATCATGATGTGTACAATCTATAATATAAATCCTTTATGTCCTACAAATAGGTTAGCTTGAAAGCATTTACTAATAGATATTATTATTGGAATAATCATATATTGACCACATAGAGTTATTATAAGACAGTTGAAGGTAAGTG